TAACAGTCCAAAAGCTGCATTCATGTGTTTCAGGTTTAACTTTACTAGAGAAGAGGGCTACAGCGGTCTGGTCACTAACTTCCTCCACACTGTACACCTTCCGATTATTTTCATTTGAGGTCAGTTATGAGACTTTGTACGGTTCCCTCTGAAGCCACAAAAACTTTTTACAATGTTTCTCACATATGTAGTATGAAGACCTGTATAAACACAGTGCAATGTGTAAAATAGGTTGAATTTCCCTTTAAAAGGCACTGTTGGTCCACCCTAGACAAGTGTTTTCACCTACCGCCTGATTACACATCCTCGCAGCGCTGTATGAGAATATGCAAACTACGGTCGACTGACAGCTCACTCACTCTGTTGTGAGTTTTGCTGTATCTGTGAGGGATAAATTACACTTCAACCACCTTATTCACACATGTAATTTGGCGATATCGTGCAATTCTCCAGAGCGCTGCCCAAATTAAAGCCGAGCAGAGGTCTAATCAGGCAGAGTAATAGAAAACACCTGTGTGGGTGTGCAGGGCCTTTAATGGCCGCGGCCTGTGGAGTGTTCTGCTTTCAAAGATTGTCGAATCACTTCTTTTAAAGTGCGCTAAAGCAAATACGAATACAAGAAAAACTTCAAGACTCAGTAACTAGTTTTAATTTGTTAGCATCAACCTCTGCGGTGCAGGTTTCCGTAGCACGATAAGAAAAATGTTTACTTTCCCTGCTTTTCCCCCGACTCTCAATCTCTCTCTAATTCCACAAGCTGTTTGAGATGAGACGCTAAATTGTGTTGATGCACAGGGAGGCAATTATTTTGTTGGCCGGTGGACACGGGCACGGCAAGAGCCAGTGAACTGAACCACAGAGCCAAACTTTATTCATACAACAGCTTCCGTGAACAAGGTTTTCCCATGCAATTACAGCAACAATGAGATAACTCACTGGCTGCAAGAAAACAAAAAAACACACCCAAAGATTGCATAAATCACTGCAGTTTCTTGGTATCTGAAGGAATTTTATGCCCTCTGTGAAGCTCCTTTATTATCCTTGTTTACATAAAACTACAAAGGAGACAACTTAATTTGCTTCTTTGTACCTTCTCCTCTATTTTACCGCCATTGTTTGTGACAGCGTCGTCTGGTAATTACTTCTACTACATGTCACTTGGACAGGAGCTTGATTTTCCTAAGAGGGGATTAAAAAAATCCAACAGGCAAACATATTTTATCTCTCTGCTTCTGTCCTGACATGTTTTCCTTAATTATATGGGCTCCTTAAATAAAATCAGTCAGTGCTGTTGTCACATGTTAGTCCCGCAGGAAACACAAACACATCCAGCAACAATGAGGAATTATTCTAATGAAAACCGCGACAGAATAAGACCATCATGTGATGCAAAAGATACACACAGATACAGCTGGTCTGTGTTTCTACGTGAGTGCGAGCATGTGTGTGAAGTGGAAATGAGTATCCGTGTGTGTGGGTGTGTGTGTGTGTGTGTGTGTGTGTGTACAAGGATGAGGAAGAAACAGAACCTAGTTTTGTTTGTGGGCTACCAAAGAGCCCAGCATGACAAAGCTTGCCTAACAAGGCATTGAGCAGAGGGGAACCCATGCATAGCTAATAGCCCAGTCCCCCCGAAAAGCTTTTGTACCCCGAAACAAAAGCCCTGTCCTCCACACACACAGAAGAGGCAACAGAGGGAGAGGGGAGGAATATCAAGTAAGATAAATAGGAGGGAGGTTATATACAGATGGAGCGAGGTGGACAGAGGTCAAAAACAGAAGAAAAAAATAAACTGAAGAATCTGTCAGACATTCTTAGGTGGTGCTGAAAATACAATTAGGCTAAAATAGCTTTGGGTTGATTTACGAAGAAGAAAATTTGAGTCTGATAACATGAGATGATGCCAAGAGTAGCTAGGGTTGTTGTTTCCAGTGGTGGAAGAAATACTGAAGTAAAAGCATCAATCCAACAATACAAAATACACCATTACTGCACAGGTTCAGCATTGAAAATAAGGAAAAATAAGGGCATAGAATATGGTTGGATGGATATTATGAGATTATTGCCACTGAGAAATAAACATGGACGCTGAATTTCAGTGTTGTAACTCCTTCAGCCAAAATTAACTACTTTCCATGATGACAGGCTCCTAGCGATTCCGGTCACAATGCTGAGCATCCCATTTTTAGAAAAATAATTACCTTGAGGTTATTTAACAATACTTCCCACTGTTCTGAAGGCACCCCCGGAAACCTCAAAGCATCTAATCATGTGAATAGAAAAGATTTTATTGTAAGATAAAAGAAGAACTCTAACTTGTTTCCAAAGCGGAAGCCAGATTTCCTAATATAGTTAGCTGGAAATGGTCATGTCTTTGCTCGTTTTGTAAGAGAACGATTAATGCAATATCTTGTGTAAAAATACAACATACTGGAGAGAAACAATATAAATTACATACAAAAAAATTGCTTCATGTTTTACCAGTTAAAAGAACATACAATTTGTTGTTTCGTTAGTTGCTGGATTAAGAACAAGATGGTAATTTGTGGAAGGTGAGATTTTTCTGGACAAGTGTCAGAAGGTTCAGGATCTTCAGAAATTCTGGGAATTCATTTCGAACAGCTGGATGACCTTTAGAGGTTTTCAAAGAATACTGGCCAATTACTTTGTCAGGACATTTGATGCTTTACTGTGTGACTAGAATGTAATATAATATACACTGAGTAGCCTTAATATTAAAACCTGGCTGACACTGGGATGCTGGCAGCAGATCTTTTGGGTCTTAAGAGTTGCAGGGTGTGACCTCTGTGTTTGTTCTCTCCGGGTCTGTTTCGATGCATCCTGTGGATGCTCGACCGGATTTAGATCTGTGGAATGGTTTAAGAAACATGACAGAGAGTTCATGACTTGGCATCCAGTTTCTTCAGATCTCAATCTGACCGAGCACCTGTGGGATGTGCTGGAAAAACAAATCCAATCTATGGAGGTCCCACCCTACAACTTCCAGGGCTTAAAGGATCTGTTGTGAATTATGTAGTGAAGACACCTTCACAGGTCTGTGGAGTCCATGATTTGAAAAGTCACAGTTGTTTAGGTGACACAAAAGGGACCCACATAATACCAACCGCATGGTTTAAATGTTATGGCTGTGGGTAATACACTGCTCAAAAAAAATGAAGGAAACACCTAAACAACACAATGTAACTTCAAGTCAATCACACCTCTGTGAAATCAACCTATCCAGTTAGGAAGCAACACTGATTGTGAATCAATTTCACCTGCTGTTGTGCAAATGGAACAGACAACAGGTGGAAATGAGAGGGCATTAGCAAGACAACCCCTGTAAAGTGTAGGTGGTGACCATAGACCATTTCTCTGTTCTCATCCTTTCTGGATGATGTTTTGGTCACTTTTGCATTTTGTCAGTGCTCTCAGCCCAAGAGGTAGCATGAGGTGGTGTCTACAAGAAGTTGCTCAGGTAGTGTAGCTCATCCAGGATGGCAAATCAATGTGAGCTGTGGCAAGAAGGTTTACTGTCTCTCAGCACAGTGTCCAGAGCATGGAGGAGATACCAGGAGACAGGCCAGTACACCAGGAGACGTGGAAGGGGCCGTAGGAGGGCAACAACCCAGCAGCAGGACCATGACCTCCTCCTTTGTGCAAGGAGGAACAGGAGCACTGCCAGAACCCTGCAAAATGACCTCCAGCAGGCCACGAATATGCATGTTTCTGCTCAAACTGTTAGAAACAGACTCCATGAGGTGGTATGAGGGCCTGACGTCCACAAGTGGGGCTTGTGCTTACAGCCCAACACCGTGCAGCGTAATTGGCATTTACCAGAGAACACCAAGATTGGCAGATTAGCCATTGGCGCCCTGAGCTCTTCACGGATGAGAGCAGGTTCACACTGAGCACATGTGACAGACATGACAGAGTCTGGAGATACGTTGGAGAACGTTCTGCTGCCTGCAACATCTTCCAGCATGACCAGTTTGGCAGGGGGTCAGTAATGGTGTGGGGAGGCATTTCTTTGGAGGGCCGCACAGCCCTCCATGTGCTAGCCAGAGGCACCCTGACTGCCATTAGGTACCAGGATGAGATCCTCAGACCCATTGTGAGACCTAATGCTGGTGCAGTGGGCTCTGGGTTCCTTCTGATGCATGACAATGCTAGGCCTCATGTGGCTGAAGTGTGTCAGTAGCTCCTGCATGATGAAGGCATTGATGCTATGGACTGGTCTACCCGTTCCCCAGACCTGAATCCAACTGAGCACGTCTGGGACATCATGTCTGGTTCTGTCCACCAATGCTACGTTGCACCACAGACTGTCCAGGAGTTGACTGATGCTTCAATCCAGGTCTGGGAGGAGATCCCGCAGGAGAACATCTGCTGCCTCATCAGAAGCATGCCCAGCCGTTGTAGGGAGGTCATACAGGCACGTGGACGCCACACAGACTACTGAGCCTCATTTTGACTTGTTTTGAGGAATTTCCACTGAAGTTGGATCAGCCTGTAATGTCATTTTCCATTTTTATTTTAAGTATGATTCCAAATCCAGACCTCCATGGGAGAATAATTTTGATTTACATTGATCATTTTTATGTTATTTTGTTCCCAATGCATTCCACTATGTAATGAATAAAAATTTTTTAACTGGAATATTTCATTCATTGATATCTAGGATGTGTTATTTTAGTGTGTTATTTTTTTTGAGCAGTGTACAATCTTTCAATAAATGAGCTCACAATTACATTCCACCACTGGTTATTCAAATGATAATATTATGTTAACAATCAGGATGTGAAGATACCTATAAATACTTTATCCTTTGCACTTTGCTGAAAAAGTATATGTAAACACTGATCCCACTTCAGCGCCTCCAGGCAAAGAAGTGTTGAGGACAAAATGAGGCACACACTCATATTAAAATAAGTGAGTAAAACTGAACAAATCAGATATTAATGGAAGTCTAAGAAAAGAAAGGAGGCTGTTCACGAAGCTACAGAGAGAGTTCAACCTCTAAAACATTTATTTGATCTATTTACAGACAGTACAGTCAACTGAACAGAACAGAAGACAATTGAATCCTACTGTGACACAACTGAAGAAACAGCGTAGCTGTATTGCAATTCAACGACTACAGCAATATGGTGGTTTCACAAAGTAGACTATATACAAATTAATACTTTTAATTGATAGATGGTAAAAATGAAGAGAATTGGAGATAAATTAATGTCTTCTTGATAATATAGTACAGGATGAAGTAAAAGTAAAACCTTTAAAAATTGAAAAGGTTTGAAATTGTCCATTTTTTCCAGCTAAAACCCTGCAGGGAGTGAAATTGAAATGTTGATGAAAAAGCGAAAACTGCCCATTTACAGCCAGTGCAGACGTTTCTGGATCATTTGGTCAGAAAGCGAGATTCCATGCATAAGCACACACTATAGTCTGTTTTTATGAGTGACACGAGAAACGCCTGAGGTAAGAGAACTGTGGCGGAAACACAGAGTGTACTGTGCTTGGGACGATAAAGAACAGCTGAGCAAGTGTGTGTGTTCATGGTACTGTAGCATATGTTCAGGTCAGGCCTGCCGTGTCAGCATGCAGTGTGCTTAAAAGCATGTAATAAGTTGAAAATACCACACGGTCCACTTACAAGTGCAGTACTGTAGCTTCTATACCATTCCACAACTACTGATTGTTAGCAGATATCGACTGTTTTCTGAGCCTATAGCAGCTCAACCACCACCTAGCATTAAAAACAGACATTTTGGAAGGTTAAAGTAAAAAAAGAAAAAGCAGGGCGAAATGATTAAAAAAATGTGTAACGTCGTGTTTGGAATTTGCTAAAGTGCATTGTTAGATTCTGTACATTGGGGAGGAGGGAGAAGGGGCTGAAGGAGGGAGTTTGGCACTGGTCATCACCAATTCTTCCTAAGCTCGCCCTTGAGCTTACGTCTCCAGAAAAAAAATCCACAGCAAGTCCGCTTGACAGTTCACACAGATAAACATCACACAGGGAAATTCCAGGGACAAAGTTCTGTCCAAGTCTAATGCATCCATTTTTCCTCTCTTTGTGTATCTGACCTTTTTTTTTTTTTAAAAGTCTGTTGTTGACTTACAGTAGATTGCTGGCCGCATAGTAGTGCATACATCACCATATCAACTCACTATATTCACCATTTTTCTAAATTACCTCTAATTGATATTGTATGGTATTAAGATCTTAGCTCTATTTTTTTTTAGTTTTGTGTATTTTTACACAAATCTGGGATTAAATGTTCTCTGTTTTGCATGTAACTGTAGAAAGTGATCTATTAAACTGAAGATGTTCTATTACTCAGTTGAATGGAAGGAAGGGAGGAGATCTAGATGCATTTTGGGCCATTCAACAGACCAAAAGTGGCCAACAAGTCACTTCAATCTGACTTCGGTGGGTCCCACTCACAGCCAGGTGAAGGAAGAGGTGAAAGTTCAAAAGTTTGAAGAGTTCACACGGGGGAAGTACCTGAGCTAGGCCGACCATCCTGTGCTTGTTGTTGGGGTCGGGGGTGGGGCTTGCTTGGTAGGGCTGAGGGGGTGACGTAGTTGAGGCTGGGGCTGTTAATGTCCCCTTCTCCCACTAGAGTTAGATCCGAAAGGGTGTCCTCCTCCAGCATCTGGACCGATTCTCCCCTGCAAGAGTCCTGGAGGAGACCACGCTGGGTGCCCTGGGTTGGGTGGATGGGGGAAATGGTGCCAGGAAATGGAGGAGGTGGTCTGGCTTTCCTCCCCCCTCCACTCTCAGTGCCCAGCGCAGAGTCCAAGCTCTGGGACTGATGGCTCACACTGAGCAAGTGGGTGCCACCTCCTCCTCCTCTGCCATTGCTGTTCGCCCTATTGCCCCGGCGACCGCTGCTAGGGAAGCTGCCGTTGTTGGGGTTACGGGAATTAGGGGTGGAGCAACTGGGCTCAGTGTCGTAGGGAGGAGGCGCAGTCTGGTTCGTTGCCACTGGTGACAGGCGCAGAAAGTCTGGGAGCTGCAGGTCACTTTTGTTTAGCAGGCCTCGCTGGTCGTCTGCTCGGTTGCTCTGAGCTTTGGATATGAGGTCGAAGAACTCTGTAGGCATCCACACACACACACAAAACATAGCGTACATACACACAAACAAACATAAACATGTGTACAAATGCATGCATGTGCAAATGAACAACCACCCCCACCACGTGACACCTTGAAAAACAGTAAAAACACTTTGCTGTAAACATGCAGCAATGTGTGTATTAATCAATTAGACAAGTCAAAGCTACATTCGGTATAAGCAGGGGTGACTGTGTTACATGTAGCTAGCTTAGAAAGCATTTGGGGCTTCTGCAATACTGCAGACAGGCAAAAGGGGTTAGTGAGATCACAGCAACACAGCTACAGAAACAAAAGAAAGAGAGAGAGAGAGAGAGAGAGAGAGAGAGAGAGAGAGTGAGGGACGTCGTTCAGTCTTTACCTTCAGCTTCGTCTATATTAATCTTTTTCTGCTTTCTTTTCTCCGGAGCCTTATGGAGAGAGACAGAGTGGTTGGATAAGGGCTGGCTGCTTGTGTCAGGGCTGGGCCCAGCCTTGCCATTTTCCCCATGGGGGTGGGCTGAACCGGCTTTCCCTGACGGCCTGTCCTCCCCCTGGGGGCCACAAGGAGAATCATGGTGGTGCAAGTATGGGGGGAAAAATAATGACAAGTGGGGACCAGTGTTTCTGATGGCGACAAATTGTGAACAAGAACAATTTGATGGGGAGCGGATGACACGAGTGTCAGTGATTGGGGCTGTTTTTGGGAAGAGGAACAATTAAATGGGACAGAATGTTTATGGAAATTAAGTTATTGGCTTGTTGTGTCTATAATCAATGGCATACATTGAACATAATTCTAACAAAACATATATAGTTGATCAAAGACAGGTGGGATGTTCCATCCAGACAGCCATAATGTCCACTGTGTGTGCTAAGCATCATCAACGTGTAGGCTAACAGCAACACACACCACAACACCAACTATCCACTACTTAAAGCTGCACTACTGCGCCTGAATGAGAAAAACCTGTTTCACATACAGATTCTAGGATTGATGACCATTTTTGCTGGCCATCAATCAGGTAAAGCCACAGCAGTAACAAGAAAACCCAAACAGCAGACTAAAGTTCTACTGCCACCACCACCTACATCCCTTCCAGGTGCACAGAGGGAGTTCTAGAGTCTCTGATACCCAGCAAAAACCACTGTGAGGTTTGACTCACATTGCCTGGCAAGAGGGGTTTGTTATAGCAGAAAGAGAACCAGCAAACCAGAGAGAAAAGTTGATGATGCGTTCAGCCACAGGCAGTACACAATAATGGAACATTAGGAACCTTGACAGTGTGACAGGACTTTCAGCCCCACAGCAACAGTCCATATAAATAAGGTCACACACAGCCCAGACATTGCCACAGACACACATAATACACCTGCGCACATTTGTAACACACTGCAAACAGACATGGGTGATTGAAGACGGCAAAGAGGGACACTTAGTAGCGTGACATCATCAACCAGACAGTGGACACATTCGGTGGGTTATGAAACATTCCAGAGCGAGAGGAACAGAAGCTGGAGGAGATCTTACTGTTGTTGATTGGTTTCTGCTTGTAGAGGCTGGAAGGTGACTCTTAGAAGGAGCTACTTTCTGTTTGTCCCCTGAATGAAGAAAAGTCAGCAGGTGTAGAGATACAGATGCAAAAGGAATAAGAAATGAGATGGTACTCTGCCAGCAACTGTGTTTCTATATGGTTGTCAAGTGAAATTGAAGCAAATGTTTTAAAATGTTGCAAAAAAGTAAAACAAATAAACAACGCTTTTATTGGGTTGCGGCTTTGGAGGGAATAAAGTGGCCAGCGTAGTGTTGCCAGAAGGTGGCGATAAAAGCTTTGTTGTACACATGGTTGTAATTAGGAGATTCGAAGATGACGGAACAAAACTGGGGCTGCATTGCAATTTTTTTGAATTAGGTACGGACTACAGCTGCCCTCACAAAATTATGCAGTTTCATGTGAAACTGCTAAGCATGTGTCACAACTTGCGCAGAAAATTGTCGGTTTGAAAAACTGGCTTGCATACTACAAAATTCGACTAGAAGTTGTAGGACATTTTGGTATTTTTCGCATGCTGTTTTTGACATACTGTGTGTGGTAACATATGGCATCTTTTTTTTGGCATACTATATAGTATAAAGTACAGATATTGGAACGTAGCCCAGTTGTTGGTCAGCCACGAAAAAATCTCCAAGACAAAGAAGAAACAAACAAAACGTTGGCCATGTTGGAGAAAAATAGGGAGCTGGTATTACCCATGTTTGTACTTTAGTAAGACAAAGACAACAAAAAAGCTTAAAAAGTTGGTTTATGTACAACACTTTCAAAACTACCTCAAGCAAGACTTACAATTCTTGTGATTTATTTTTGCTGTTACCTTCAACTTTTTGAAATACAGTACTTCAAAATGTGCATAAAAATATGTCATGCAAACTGCATGCAGACTGAATGTATGTGTGTGTTTCTTACCTTTTCCAGGAGCGTGTTCTGCTATATCTAACACCACTCGCAGTCCGTCCAGGTTGGAAATAGGAAGACCTAGATCTAACGGCTCCGACTCCCCACTCTGCATCACACAGACACACACACACATTTTATATGAGTTTGTTGTCGTCACCTACACTGCCTGTCTGTCTGCAGCCTGAGGAGTGACTTACAATTCGTGCCACCAGGTCAGAGAGGTGCAGGCCATATTTGGCCACCACAGGCCGGAGGACTTCAGTCACTGGCTTGGTGGGTTTAGCTTTTAGACCTACTGAACGGTTTATGGGAACCAAGTCGAGTCTTTAAAAGAGGAGAACATAATTAACATTTACTCTAGAAACAGCAGCTTTAATGTATACCACATTCCACACCCAGTAGCCTCAGCTTTATTTCTGCTATTACTTTAAGAGCTTTAAACCCTATTTTGTTATTTCATAACAGCCAGAACACAGAACTGTTTATGACCATATGTTACTGTACCTGAAGAGAGTGCGTTTTTCTAGTCTGAGGTCTCGAGAGCACAGTGTCATACAGTCTTGGTCCAAAACAAGTGGCTGAGAAACAGAGAGATAAACAGATCATGAAAATCATGAAGCGTTAATCATGAAAGATGTCCAGGTAGTTGCTCAACTCTGCAGGCTGACATCACTCCCCATATGACTCCCAGTGTCTTGGTAATAATATTCTTTTAGCCACTTGGGGGCAGAACTCAGCAAGCTTCACAACAAGCTGAAATTCAAATGCACTGTAATCTTATAGATTTGTTGTGTTTATAACATTTTGGCAAACCGTTGTTTGTTTGGGTGGTGAGAGAGAATCAAAACAGTGAATATACAGACCGACAAGCTAAAACAATGTCCTGAAAGACACAAATGTGCTCCATAAAGTTGAGATGACTAACAGGGTTGGATGGTAATTTTGCAGGTTTGTCATGAAAAATATCTCCATATCTCTAGTCACTAGACCCACTGTTCATGGAAAAATGCTGCGTAATGCAGCTTGAAATTATAATTTGCTGTTTATGTCAAGCAAGGAAACTGGCCCAGACTTAATTTCATGTGCTTGTGTGATTTGTCGCCGTTGCTGATGACTTGAACACACGATTTGAAGCACAAAAATAAAAGTATCTTAAGGACAGCACCACATGAAACTGTGTTGTACCTTCTCCCCTCCGACCAGGAAGAGGTCTATAGCTGCCAGGTTGATGCAGAGCTTCTCACAGAGCCCCAGCAGCAGGTCCCTGATGGACACTCCGGCCCTCAGTGGCACAGAGCAACATGAGCCGTCCGGCAAGCTTATGTTACACTGCCTCAAGGGGGCGCTGCCCCCTCCTCGCTCTCCTGACACTGACACCGCACCTCGAGAAACATCACCCTGGAAGAAGAAAACAGGGAAAGGAAGAGGAGATAAGTCAGAGGAGGGTTAAAGCAATTAGAACAAACAGTCAATATGATATTATTTATTTCTGTATTCTCAGTGTTTTCATTTTACTTTTAAAGCAGGCAGGTTAAATTTAGTGCAAGAAAGAGTGTGAAATGAAAGGTTACTGTGATGTCCAAACTGGTTATCTTATGAAGTCTCCTCCCACACTCACCTCATTTCTCCCCGACCCCGACATCCCCAGCTCCAGACTGGCTCCTGAGGACAGTGAACCCTGTGACTCACGGCGACCATTGCTGCCAGAGAAATCTAAAAAAATATTACATTCATAAGTAGTGTTACAGGAAATATTTCCATTTTAATTTTAGAAACAATAAAACTACAAGCTTTCTGCTTAAATTTAAAATAGAATAGGTACTTTTGGGGCTAAACCAAAGTTACATGTACTTCAAGGAGTAAAATGTTTAATGATTGTTTCCTATTGAACAAGCAACAGTGCTGTGATTGTTCTGCCTTCTAACAAAGTTTTTTGTCCTAAATTTGGCTGATCAGCTGCAAGAACACACAAAACGGGAAAAAAAACTGACTGTAGTTGAAGTCGGTCAGCTCTCGTTTCTTGGGTCCTTTGCCAAAGCTCCTGTTGCGGGACCATGAGAAGAACATGCCTTTCCTCCTGTCTCCTGAATCATCCCGACTGTCGTCATTTAAAGATCGACCTGACTTGCTCTTTTTGTCATCCTGTAAGACAAAAAATAAAAAGTGAAGGTTGCACAAAGAGGTACAAATAATTATTTATTAGGATTGGGAATTTAATATGTTAGTTTTGATTAATTAGTTACAGAAAATATGATTTAATAGAATTTAATCACACTTTGCTTAGTTCCCTAATTTCTGGAACACCAATAACACTGATGCACACACTCCAGCTGGTAGGTGGCGCTAATGCACCTAAAGTTTGTTTGCCATCCGCGAAGAAGATTCACAGGCTGCATTGAGCGAAGTCAGCACACAAGAAAGTTTTGTTGAATAATGATGGAAGATGAGACCACATTGCTTGGCTTATTGGGCAGAAAGTTTTTTAAAAATTTTTTAGTTAAGAACACAGCATGGTTGTGTGCAAATTGCGCAACAAAGAATTTTAAGACAAAAAGCCTTAAAATGTTGAATATAATAGCTCTACTTGCACTTTGAGTTTGAGTTCAGATGAAAAATGCAAAGATAAATATAGATGAAAAATAAACATTTTTGTGGTTTAATCTCACATGGATATCAATTCACTGATTCAGTCATCAAAATGAAAAACTTCCCTTATTGTATCAAATATTGTTATTTGATAAAAAAGTGATTAATCCCAACTAATTAATTAGAAAACCTCCAATTAATGAAATTACATTTTAAAATTGTGTCCCACCACTAATATTTATACACAAAAACCACGACAAATGATGCATGCAAAGTAATTATAGCGCGCACACACACACACACACACACACACACACACACACATACACACCCACCAGACACAGTTACTTTGGTCACAACCAAAAGCTATTCCTTCGTATTGTACTGCACTGTAGAGTGGAAGGCTTCGTGTTACCTTCTTAGGTGTGGAGAGGTTGGAGCGGTCAGAGCCGGTGGTGCTGTGTTTGGAGGTGGGGCTGCTGGGGATGTGGTAAGGGTCAGGCAATGGCCTCCCCTCCACCTCCGCAAGCATGCACTCCTGGTACAGCAGAGACTTGAGGAACCGTGTGTAACTGTCGAACTTCATCAGGTTGAAGATCTAGGAGGCGAAGAGCAGGAACAGAAGTAATCAGTGAGAAAGACAAAAAAGGAAAAGAAATAGAAGCAAGTACAGCAAAAACAAGCAATGGAAAAACCCCGAATTAAGCAACCATAAACAACAGTTAAAGAAAGAGAGGGTGTGGAAAAAGAAAGGTGAGAGGAAAAGTATTAGAACAGATACAGAAAACTACACTGAACATCAAAAATCTATATTTTTACAAATGGTTCTTTTAAAATGTTTTACTGTAAAATTTTATTATTTTTTATTGTATTTAAATCAGCAAAAAGTATTCTTTTATTTACAATACTTGTCATTATTTGAAAAAATAGGATTAAAAATTGGAATTTTTCAAAAAGTTGATCCATTTTCCTTGTTTTGTTAAATCACAGACATCTAGTAAAAAATCACAGAAAAATGTATTAATTTACATGTTGACTGTGATTTTTTTTGTTACTGTATGTGTTTTACAGATATTTGCAGTTATTTGAAAGAAAAAATATGTGTGTTAAAGATTTAAAAGTTATTTTACAGAATGTATTTAAATCCTCTGAAAAAGGTATTATTTTTACAGATATTTGCTGTTATTTCAATCAGTTTTTACAATTTTTCAAGGCCAAAGGATTCTGTTGTTGTTAAATATACTTTTTCTGGCCTTTCTTGCTGCCAGATTTTCACCATTTTGTTGTGAAACCTGTCCTTCACAGTGTACCAAAGAGAACTACAGAGAAAATAAATGAAAACAGGATATTCTCAGATGCACACAAGAGAAAGATGAAACCAAAACAAGACCAGCACTAGCTGCCCCTTGAGGCTCAGGTGACTACTGATTTACTGATGGTGTTATCGTCTTGGAGCCCTAAAATCTAACATTCACCCTGAGCAGAGGCTACAGCAGAAAAGCCTCCAAGGAATAAAAAGTCAGCTGTGTCTATCCTCTTGGAAGCATGAATGTTCATACAAAACTGCATAGCAACCCCCCCTGAGTGTTAAAGTGTTGGTAGTCAGGCAGAAAACATTCTATTAAAAATATGATTGAAGGACAAATGAGGGACAGCATGATACAAATATAGAATTTCGTGTGTGTGAGTGTGTGTGTGTGTGTGTGTGTGTGTGTATGTTTGACTCGGCATGCATGTAAAAATCTGACCTAAAATCTTCAATCATCAAGTGCCAGGAGATTTAGAGGAGCCCCAGGGTATTCTGGAGAAGCTATTCTTGGGTTTCAATGTGTGTGTGTGTGTGTGTGTGTGTTTGTGTGTGCATGCTTCTTAAAAAGATAATGTGTGGTTGTCTGATGTTCAACAGTACTGAAGCTGATGGGGAGGATATCCTTCTCGCCTTGTGACTCTTATCAGAGTTTGAGCATCTGAGTTTAGTTGTCGAAAACAATAGGGCTTTTCATCATCTTTGCCCAGTGCCCCCTCCCGACAGCATCTAAGAAGTCATTCACATCCATGATGCTCAGCAGCAAGCAAAGCTGACCTCGGGTTCTTTGAGCACTCAGCACTGTTATACTAGTACATTTTCAATTACAGTCTGTTTTCATCCAGTTTTATGAGTAAAGTAATAAATTTGTTGTTCACGGAAACCTCTTTCCATTTCTTCTTGATTAGAAAGGTCAGTGTAGTTTAGGTTCAGCCTCTGGACAAGAAACAATTTCCAGTCACCTTGAGAATAATACGGATCCTTATGTTTTACCTGCAGTTGCTGTTCCTTGAACATGTCAGGTTTTGGGGCGTTGAGGATGTCGTCTGCCAGCTGAGCTTGACTATCTATGTTCACTGGTGTTGTGGCTTTACTGGACAGGAAGCTGTTGTAGATCTCCCTGGCTCGTTGTGAGAGCTAGAGAAAGAGAAGACGAGGAGCAAAGGGAGTCGATTACCACACAGTTAACTTTCTTCCCTTATTGGTGAAGACATGAAAATAGATGAATGTGTGTGATCAAATAATGTTTTGCGTGTCCATTACTTGTTTGTTGTCGTTCTCTGGGACATGGCTGAAGTATTCGCAAGCCTGCCAGAACAGGATATTCTCCTCACTGAACTCTTTCTTTAGGAATTCCTGCAGCAAAAGAAATAAATTGGAGATAAATCAGACAAACATATACTGTATATAAGTCACATTCATGCAACGTAGACTTCTTTGAACTGCTATAGGAAGTACACAGTAAAAATCTAGCAACAAATGCTGGGCTTGCAGAGCGCTTTGACTATAGCATAAAATTCTAACTTGTCTGCAACTTTTGAACATTTACAGGTTAATAATTATACTTTTGGCATCCACTGTAATATGTCTACATACTTTGATGTACATGTGGACGTTAAACAAACAGGGAAAAACTGAAAATAATGTCCCCCCTCACAAATCTGTTTTCTAACAAACAGTAATTTGTTCTTTTACAATGTGTGACTGTAAAATAATATTGTTTCCACTAAAATCCACTAAAAATATCATTATTTTACAGATATGTGCCGTTATTTTCACAAGTTTTCACAGTTTCTTCAAATAAAGTTTCTAGAACATGCCTAAACCAACCTTTTCACAACACTGTATTGATTGATTTTCTGGTGCAAATGCATTTAACAAGTCATTACAGTGCTGCCAGGTACATTTAACAATATGGAATGCGGCAAGCACTCGCTGATACAAAACTCCAACATTTCAAAATGCACAACTATAGAAAGAGCTAAGTCATTTTAATAGTGAGGAGAATATGGAGCCTATCTGTCGTGAGCATGTGCTGGCCAACACCAGTCAGGTGCTTTTATAGTACCGAGAAGTATCGGACTCCCACAGGGTCCTGCAGCAGCCTCTCAAAGCAGACGGCCCAGCTGGCCACTCTCCTCTCAGTGTGGCGCCGGTGGCTCTGGACGCTGGGCAGGCTGGCATTACTGTTCAGACTGTTGTCGCTGCTGCAGCCCTGCAGCTCCACGCTGTTCAGTTCTGCTCACACACAAAAAAATACACAAAATCAAACAGTGGTAGCAGGGTGACCTCAGAGTTTTACTATTGTTGATGCATTCCAATGTATGATTTTCTTTATTTTTTAAAACTGCATGTCTACATTTGCAACAGCACAATCATTGGGTGATGTGGTCGGGATCATTATAATAAAACTCAATTAATATCAAGATAATTAAAAAATGATTTTTCAATATCAATTCGAACAGCGTCTTTGTTTTGTCGCCTGTATTCCTGTCTGCAGGGGATTTACAGAAACCTTCCCAGCTGTGTCCGGTGTCATTGATAGTACATGAGCCAATCTAGTGAGACCTCGTCCTCCCACATACATACCTACTGTGGTTTTCTGTTGCTTTGTATTTTGCTTTGTAACACAACACCCACACGCACACTTTCACAAGTACAATCCCTACAATACTGATAGTACACATGCGATCTGCAGCTATTTTCAGCTCACTTGTTGCAAATATATTTATTTTATTTTTCTCTAATCCTTTCTGAGTGTGACATACCACAGATTAGACTACTAATATATATATATATTAGGGGTGCAACGATACATGTATCTGTATCGAACCATTCGATACAGTAGTCTCAGTTCGGTATGCTCTATTAATCGAACAATACACAATTTCATATTTTTTTTAATCAACTTCTGACGAAGCGCTCTGTGCTGACCTCAGTGGATCTGCGCTCGACTACTCCGGGCTGCATTGTCGAGCGCAGATCCACTGAGTGCGCCTGTTGGCCCATAGACTGTATAAAAGATGGACGTAGCAACCGGCCCTGAAAAATGAAGTGTCAAAAACCTGCAATATCACTACGTCCACTAGTTGCTGGCTCCAAAAAGCCCTGGCTCCCATAGAATTGAATAGGAAAAGAAGTGATCCCAGATCACAAAATACCGCATTCCTAGAGCTCAGGATTTTTGTCTTATTAGTTTTCATAGTCAAATCCAGAGATCAGGTGGCCAATCTGAAAATAAATCAATACCGAATTTTTAAAAAATCGTCAAAATTTTGCGGGGCAAGGGGCGTGGCTGGTTTGATTGACAGTCGGGAGCGACGATGCAGACGAAGCGAGCAGAAGGCGGTAAATGTGGGCGGGCAGAGAGGG